TGGCCACGCAGACGGTCAGTCCCGGCCAGGTCGAAGAATTCATCGAAGTCTAGGGCGCACTCACGACCTCTGACAATCCTGTAGGTTTGAATGAGATCGCTGCGCATTTGCCTGCAATTTAGAGGAAACAGATTTACTTCGGTCAGCCTGGTTTCGTAAGGCAAATGATTAAGATTCTTGACCATCTCCGTAGCCATCGCCTGTACTCTTTCCAGCCGTTGATAATCTTTATTCAACCACGGTCGCCAGGCCTGGACTACATACTCTAATTGAGACCGGACGAATGCCACATAGGTTTTTCCGAAAAACTCTTTATCCATCTGCACAAATCCTCGACTCTGCACAAATAACACCCTTATCGCACTTTTGGCTACCCTTTGACACTGTGATGATGTTTTCAGCGAGGAGGTCATTTGGACGACGAGATCTTTCTGTTCAGCAATATTTGAAAGGGTCTGACCACGCAGGATGTATTGAAAGGAATCGTCCTCCTTACTGGTCCGTCTGGTGCGGAGTCTCAGGACCACACATTTGTCCAAATTAAAATTAAGGAGCCAACGAGCCGACAAACTGTTCAGGCGGATGAGACTGTCTTGAAGCGCGTACCTGTCTGCGTCAGATCTGATGGTTCTCCCCAGCTTAACGTCGTCAACAAACATGATGGTGCTGCATCCTACGTCTTCAACGCTGTCGTTAATGTCAACCAGGAATAGCAACGGCTCTAAGACCTAGCTCTGGGGTACACCACTTTGAACGGCGGTAGGAATTGACCTCAAGACCTCAACACAAACGGTTTGTGATCTCCCTGTAAGAAATTCTGTTATCCATGTCAGCAGTCTTCCTCTTATTCCAATTTCAGAAAGTTTGTAGATTAGGCGTTTGTGTGGGACGCTGTCGGAGGCCTTCTTGAAGTCCGTGTAGATGACATCGACACTGCCGTCCTCGTCCAGTGCGCGAGTCTATTGCTCCGTCGAGAGCAATAAACTGGAAAGGCACGAGCGGTTCTGTCTAAAGCCGTGCTGTATGTCTGATAGTAAGTCGTTCTGCTCCAGAAACATCATTGTTGCTTTCTTAAATATGACCTCCATTATTTTACAGCAGATGCAAGTTAGACTAACAGGCTGGTAATTGTTAGCATAAGTGCAAGCTCCTCCATTGTATATCGGAAAGATATTTGCTGTCTTCCATTCTGATGGCAGTCTCCCTAATTCGAATGAGGAGCGGAAGATGTGCGCCAGTGGTTTGGAGAGTGCATCCGCCAATTCTTTCAAGAATTTGGCCGGTATATTGTCCAGACCCGCGAACTTTGCTTCTTTGAGATTTTACAGCTCCCTTTCCACAACAGCTGTCGGGAAGGGCATGAAGTCAAGCACAGGACTGGCGATCTCAACAGCATTGTTGGCACTGCGACTATAAAACTCTGTTTCCCTAGAAAAAACGGAGGCAAAAGACCGCCCTAAGTGTTTGGATTTTCCGCAGTTCCCAATGATTTCTGTACCATTATCATCCTTCAACACTGCGACCGGGTCCTACTTTTTCAGTTTACTGTTAAGATAATGAAATAAAATCTTAGGTTTCTTCTCGTGGGCGGCATATCTACCTGGTGGAGTGGGAATGGAAAATAGCGCACCTAAACTCTTTAACGGGTAAATACCATAATGGGTCAAATAAATTAGAATTGGCTGAAGAAAGATATGACTGTAAGACTGAGCTTAAGCGGTGATTTCGGGAAATGACAAGCTCGGAATTATTTATAATCCATTTAAAGTCGTTGTCGGGGAAGCCACTGCGGAGAACGGGTCCGCAGATTGACAAGTCTACGGCCCTGGTTCAAATAGAACCGCCAGTTAACTCTGCTGACGCAGATGAGTACTGTGGACGAAGGGGATTGTTACCGCGGGACCTATAAGGCCCATGCGGAGAGATTATGATTCTGCAAGTACTTCACCACTACACAAACGACAACACGTTACATTGCGGCATATGTAAACGCAGGAAGGCGATGCGTGCGCGATCAGCATTTGAAAATAGCAGACTGACAATGCAGAAGATTCCGAAGACTCACGTGGCCTTCCTAGGAAAAACCACTGCAAATCGGTGCGGAATCTCAGTCGACATAAGCCGCACAACGGCGGGGAAGTGGCAGGTCATATGGCGAGGAATCTGCTAGAACGCTGTAATGAACGATACAGAACCAGCTGAAACCAAAGGAGTGGGGGTGCAAGTGAATAAAACCATGATAAGCAGAAAAAAGCACAATATGACGGAGTAGGTGGTGGACATATATGACAATGTTAACAAGATTACCCTGTTTGGACAGGTGAAAGACCGTAGCTGGCCGTAATTGAGAACGGTCGTAAGGAAATAAATATCGTTAGACAGCGTGATAACGACGGACAAGTGAAAGACCTGCGCACGCCTGCCGTCCAAAATCCATTACCTTTCGATAGTTTGTCTTTCATTCGACTTTTGTGTACCCCACCACCGGCAAGTAAACTATTGTCATCCAGATCTACTGGAACGGACTAAAGCGAAAACTACAGGAAAGTGGGCTGGCTAGCATAAAGTTGGTATTTGCTGGTCTGGATGAGGCCCGATATCAACTTTTTTTCCGGCGTAAATGCGGATCATTTGCCAAAATACTGGAATAACTTTCTCAGTCATGTTGCAAACATATAATCCGTGCTCACAGAAAGCATGGTCACCATAAGAAGAAGCCGGTGATGTTTAACCCAACAGCCGACGGACCCGGCAGAAGGAAGCAGTGTACTGCCCGGATAAAAGGCACTGGTGGAGCAATGGCAGTTGTCTGCCGACGGCATTCTGAAAGCTGTCTGCAAATTAGTCTTTTGTTTTCACACATACTGTCCTAGAGCAATGCATACGAACCTCTACTTCCATCTCTTCTGTTTAGTTATGTGTACAAGGGAATTGGTAACTACTCCATGGAACCAACGATGTGGGTCAGTAAAACGCAAGCATACGTAGGTCTTTCACCTCAAGGGCCAAATGTCGGTAAAGTAAATTGGACGTGGACAGCAAAAGTTAAAGGAATTGTAAAGACGAAGCGATGCTGATAAGCTAACGAACACAGACTTGCGCGGACTGCACACCTTTGAAAACAATGAAAGCGTAGTATCGAGTGCCGACAGGTCTATGCCAACGAACAAATCTGAGCAACGGAATACCACAGTGTGATCGACTGAAAGTAGAGAAATGGCACGACTGAAGCCAACGAAACCCATGAAAGCTAGATTACTTAAGGGCTAAAAAAGACAGCAGCCAAGTCAGTAAAAGATGTAAGCACACAACCACATCGCCAAAATATTGTAAATGCAGGTCTAACGAGGTGCAAATTATTAGTTGTCTTTTTAATTTCATTTTAGAGTGTTCTTAATGCACCAAATTCGCGGTCTTCCATATACTAAAATATTTTTGCGCTTTTTGATGTGAACTAGTCGATAGCTATAGACTTTACGAATCAAATATAAGGGAAAACTGATTAATTAAAGACTTTTACTGGTACTAAAGAGCGTTCGCCTGACTAAGCAGACAGTGGAAACAGTAGTTCCCACTGACTATGTACCAGCTCCGGCATTAACTGTGAGTCGGCACTTAAGCTTTAATAATAATAGTAGTTATATTTTATGTCATTTTACAGGCATTGACAGATAAAGATTAAGCAGAAATCCGGCCAGCGGTGAAAAAATTCCTGATAATTAAATAGGGAGAATGGTGATTTCGTATATTTTGGAGGGTTCAGGAGAAAAACTGCTGTCCAAGAAATGACGACGGCCGAAAAAAGGATGTGTAGCGCAGGATCGAATATTTTCAGTTCCCATTTTTTTCATGAAATTGGAGCTGGACCAAACAGAAGACCCGAAGAACAATTGTCGCTGTTGGCTGCAGAAATTGTTCCTGGTAAGATCGGCCATCAGTATCAGAGACCACGAACTCCATCACTACGGCATATTCGGTTGGTGGCTCCAACACCCAAAATTTGTGGGAGCTTTTCTGAATGCAATAATCGAGTAATAGTTATCTTAAATAAAGGATAATTTTGCAGAGTTTTCACATTCCTGGATAATTTATTCCACATAGCAGTTCTGTTCACAAAAAAGAACCGACGATATTTAACTGTACGTGCCAAAGGAAGAAATAAAAAGACCTCATGGTGACTGCTACGTCGGAGGTGGACAAGATGCTTTAAAGTAGTGAGCGGGTTAGAAGTACGACTATAGAAAATCTTAATTAGCGAAAATAGTCCCCTTTGTAATCTATGATACCACAAAAGATCGAGGCCTGTAAGTCGGCAACCTTCTTGGTATGACGAATCCTGGTGTTCTGGGGTTAAAACTCTCTTGGTAAAAAATGTAGGATGGACTCTATTTTATTCTGTTCGGCAGCACGCATGAGGATAAATGAAGACGAACAGCATTCCAGGCCAGTTCTATGGAACATGTTATAGAGGCGCACGCTAATATCGCTGAGGATAAACCTAGTCGTTCAACGAGCCTTGGAGCTATGAGGGTGCAGTGCTCTGAAATATAAGACTTGGCGTACTACACATCCAGATCTTTAATAACTCCAGGAGCATTAATTTCGTGACCGTCAATGCCCAGTTGATGGTGGCGGCCGTCGCCAACCACCATGACTGAGCATTTATGCAAAGAAAGAGAAAGGCGCCATGTGCGGCAGCACTGGGCAAAGGCCCGCAGGTCGCTCTTTAGGAGTTCAAGCACGATTTCACGATCTGCCTGCTTATATCCATATGCAACTTTCAGATCATCGGCATACATGAAGGGCTTAACATTCTGAAATACATCGCGTACACCGTTATCAAAAAGGCAAAATAAAAGCGGACCGAGTACACTACCCTGAATGACTCTACTCCTCACACATGTGGGGTTGAGGATAGCATTGGAAATCTTAACCCGTAGTGTGCGCGCGCCCAGGTAAGAGGATATAAAATTATTGTGCCATAATTATGTGTAAGGTCGATGGGCATGACAGACGCCACAACGGCAGACGTTGAGGCAGTGGAGAAGAAGAAGAAGAAGAAGAAGAAGAAGAAGATGGAGGGGGAGGAGGAGGAGGAGAAGGAGGAGAAGGATGCGAGTGGTGGTTCGGGAGGGCTGTCAGTGTTAGTTGACAGCGCAGAAGACGAGGGCTAGGTGGGCAGGGAAAGGACGGTTGGCGTGGTTTGGGCGCTGCCGTTGTCCCGAAAGAGTCCATTTGGCGCCGGAATGGCCGCTTACACCGTGGACACGTTGGAGGCGATTGGGCGTTGGTGTTGCGAGGTGGGTGCAGCTGAGATTAGCGTGTCTCGCGTGTGGTTTTTGCGGCGATTATGCGGTTGGCTTCGAAGATTGCCGCGTCCGTCTTCACTGTCCTCCTCCAGGTCGGTCCCGAGCGAGGCCTTTCCAGTTGGCCGGGTTGATCTGCAAGCATCAGTGGAACATTTTTAAAAGTGAAATTACTAAGCTTCGATGAGAACTCTGACCTAACACATGGCAAAATTCACTAGAATACTCAAAAGTCGGCTACTTATGGAAAACTAAAGAACGCGGGACCATATCCCTACTCTCAGGTCGCCAGACGGAACACCGATTACTTCTGATCATTTTAAAGTTTCCGTTTATTCGGATTTATTGCAGTCAATTTTCGCTTGAAATCCTAGTTCTTTTCTTCATTCCTTCAGAAGTGGGTCTCACTGCAACTCAAAACGAGTGAAAGAGCAGATGGAGAGGATCACCATTGCCTGCTTGGTGGAAGATGCCTATCAAATGTGACAAAGCTTTCTCTCGGAACGTATACGGAACGTTAATTCGTTTGTACCTGGAATATGGAATCCAAGCGTGAAGTCCATGGCTGAAAAAAGACTATAAGTTGCTGGAAAGAGTTCAGAGGAGAGCGACGAAAATTGTGAAAGGCCTCAAGAATTTACCTTACAAGTGCAGACTTGATGAGCTTAACATATTTCCTCCTGAGTAGAGGCAGATCTGTGGAGATCTCATACAGGCGTATCGGATTTTGAGGAACCGGGACTGTGCACCTCACCTTGACGATTTGTTCACCTTGGCCACAACAACAAATGTGCGTGGGAACTCCCTAAAACTTAGAGGATCTCAGTGCCGCCTGAACGTTCGCAGATACTCTTTTTCACAGCGATTGGGCGCATTTTCAAAGGACATCTAATAAGTCAGTACATTTTCAGGGTAATAGGCAATGCCTTTGAAAACCCTATTGTGAACGGTACATGCAACATCTAACTTTAAATAAACACGATACTAAAACGTTGTCAGTAATATATACACTTAACAGACTATTTTTCATTTAAAATGCGGGACCGAAACTCAAGAACATTCAATTGTTGACGATATCGGTAAAATGAAATGACAGTCATCCTCATTAGCGGTAGGTGTATGCAAAGCGTTGGTTTGGCAGCACAGGGCTGTTCTGTCCAGACAAGCGGTATTGTCCAAGCAAAAATACATATCGTCTTTGCTTTAACGTCTCCGTGGTACCCGACATTATTAAGTCCTCAGGAAGCCCGTTCCAGTCACCGACGACTCGCTCTGGAAAGCAGTATCTGCGAACGTCCAGGCGGCATCGGGATCTTCTAAGTTTTAGAAAGTTCCCACGCAGTTTTGCTGATGTGGACAGGGTGAAGAAATCATCGAGGTTTAGGGCACATTTCCGATCCTCAGTATTTCATACGCCTGTATGGGATCCCCTCGAAGTTGCCTGTACGCAAGAGGAAAAAGTTTAAGTTCACTAAGTCGGCAGTTGTAAGGTAAAGTCCTGAGGCCTTTCTCAATTTTCGTCGCTCTCCTCTGAACTCTTCCAAGCAATTTATAGTCTTTTTTAGCCATGGACGCCACGCTTGAGTTTCATATTCCAGGTGCGAACGAAAAAACGCTCCGTATACTTTTCCAAATAACTCTTTGTCCATATCTATGAAAGTCCGTTCAATGACAAAGAGAACACTTGTTGTCCTTTTGGCCGCCCTAACGCACTGAGAAGAAGGCTTAAGAGTCGACAAAATGTTGATCCCAAGGTTTTTTTGTTCGGTTACATTTGAAAGGCACTTTCCACCAGGCAGGTAATGGTGATTCTCTCCGTCGACTCTTTCAGTCGCTTTGATTCGCAGTGCGACGCACTTCTCAAGGTTAAATATTAGCAGCCATCTGCTAAACGATTCGCTTAGGCGGTTGAGTCCTTCTTGCAGGACCCGTTCATCACTTTCCCCGCTGATCGCTCACTAGAATTTGATGTCATCGACAAACATGACTCCACTGCAGTCCAGTCCATTCATACAGTCGTTGACACAAATTAAAAATAGTGCTGGTCCGTGTGCAGAGCCCTGGGGAACTCCACTCACAACTGGCACTGGCGTTGACTTCGCACTACCAATACACACAGACTGTGATCGACCAGTCAGAAAGTCCTTTACCCAGTTTAATAGGTTTCCCCTTATCCCTGACTCTTGGACCTTGTAAACTAACCGGTGGTGTGAAACAATATCAAAGGCTTTCCTGAAATCTATGTAAACGATATCGACCCTTGTTTCTTCGTCAAACGAGTGAGACCACTGTTCCGTTGAATAAAGCGTATTAGTCACGCAGGGGTGACTTCGTCGAAAGCCATGTTGGAACTAGCAAAGAAATTATTTTCTTTAAGGAACTTCATTATGGATTTTTGACTTTTCTCTCCATGACTTTGCAACAAATGCACGTTAGGCTCACCGGCCGATAATTGTTTGTACTTGTTCTAGTTCCACCCTTGTGAATGGGGTATATGTTTGCCGCTTTCCCAATCAGAGGTGAGAATGTGTCGGCCAAAGGACGACCGGAACATGAGCAAAAGCGGTCTGGCGAGTTCGCAAGCCAACTCCTTCAGAGCTTTTGCCGGAATTTGGTCTGGACCCGGAGACTTAACCTTTTTAAGCGCTAGAACTTCCTTCCTTACATCTTCTTCCGTGAAGTCGATGTTTTCTATTATTTTGTAGGTTGTCCAGACAGGCAATCGAGCCTCGTCAAAGTCCGTTTCATCAGTGAAAACAGATAGGAAAAACCGGCTTAGATGTTCTGCCTTAGCGTCTTTTTCGATGATATATTCATTGCTTTCTCCTTTCAACATTAAAATCGTCTCCTTGTTCTTTAACCTACTGTTGATGTAACTGAAGAACACTTTTGGTTTATCGACGGCCCGTTCCATAACTCGCGTTTCATACTCCTTCCGAGACCTACGGGTAGCCGACCTTACCTCGTTTCGCTTTCCACGAAATTGCTCGTAATGTCTCCGATGATAGATTCGAGCGAGAATCCGAAACGTCAAGCCAATAAATTTTTTGTTCCAGTGATCGCATCTTCGTCTTGTGATTTGAGGTATTGTTGGAATAATTCTATATTGTGGTTTATTCTGTTCTTTGGGATGTCTGAAGAGGACTCACGCATACCCTTTACGATGATGCATGTTTTGCGATAAATAGGACGCTGTCGTTAATTTTTATACGCACAGTTTGCATCACGTAAATTTTTGTTGTCATCAATGTCCACTTCAGAGACAGTTGTCATGGTATAGCTACCGCAGGGCGCCTCGTTTATCGAGGCTTCTTGGTCATTTGGTACTTCTTGTGGCAGTGAGGCATTTGACTGTATTCTGTGTGGACTCTGCTCTCTCTTGTTGACGCTCTGACATACTTGACCTTTTCGGGATGCTTTGAGACGTCTCCTGGTTTTTTGAGATGCCCTTCGTTTATTTTTCTTTCGCACATGAGACAGGTCCTCGGTTATGATTGGGTCCGTAGACGGGCTCTCTTCTTTTTCAGGGGCTAATATAGTTACTGAAGTCGTATTGGCCTTTTTTCTCGTCATCTTCTGAACTTCCGACATCGCCATCGTTCTCCTTTCGAATGAATGGTGAGGAAGTTTCATCAGCTTCTCCATCTCAATTCTTAGATTCCTTATATCCTACTCCATCTCCAAGATTTTCTAAAGAAGTCTAAAACATGGCGCGCAGGTTTTGTCCTCGTATCTAACATCCAATAAAGTTTTCAGACTCCTAGCGTGTTTGACGGGAGGTGATTTGACATCAGAAGACATATCGCAGTAGTCATTTACACAAAGACTTTCGGTTACTTCAGCATTTTTGTTAAGCTGCCTGCTGCGCGTCAGTGGCGTAGTGGTAGCGACAATTTCCGCGTCATGCTCGTGCCCAGGTTCGACCACGTCCCGTGGCGGATTTTCTGCCCAATGTCTGGAGGACCCTGAATCGACTACCATTATTAAGTCAATAAACTTGAAACGCTCTTAACGGTATGGAAACGATTTTAAGCGAGACCAACGGTATGAAGAAAATAGGAAATGACTCAGCCGATCATGCATTAGGGGAATATCGCGGTGTGGTTGTCAGAAATGTGGTCGAAAGGAGATATGTTTTCCGGAAGAAACATCCGCTGAAATTATGTGAGAATCGAGGTACTGTTATGAAGAATCGATTTGTTAATTCCAACAGGCCGTCAGGATATCCAGAACTCAGGAGCCTCGTAAAAGTTAAATACCTCGGAAAGCGAAAATTTCAAACCGAGTCTAAAAGAAAACAGTCTATTATGTGATGCCTAGCGTGGCTTTCTTCGAGGAAGATCTTGCCTTACGAGTATTTTTCGGTCGCATTAGAAATGAATAAAGACAGCAGACAGAGCTATCCGGGGGTTATTTGTTTTTTGACTTTAGAAAAGCCTTAATTAGCACACCACATCGATTCATTTTACAAATGATTTTAGAAATAGAAATTCAAGGCAAAATGCTAAAATTGATTGTAAGTTTCCTTTCCTCAAGAGTAAAGTGAGCAGCTGATGGTAACTCAAATTCCGAATGAGTAAAAGCCACTAATTTTCCTGATCCTTGTGAATGACACCACTATAAACTGGGGTTTCGAACCTGTCGCGTTCGCCGGCGGTAGAAAAATATTACCTGAAGTAAACTGTGATTGTAACATAATAAGTTGCAATCTAACATCGACTAGCTGATTTTCTAGTCGAGCGGGTGCTTTCCCAGGTCTAATGCATGCAAACACATGGCCCACTTCTTAACACAGGCTTAACACTTCTCTAAGACACTATTACTTTATAAATTATGCAACATTAAAGGGTGTGCAAGCGCAACTTATCTGTATATGTGGACGACTGCGAGTTTCATTCTGTCAGAACACCATCAAAATGTGGTCAAGAAGGTAAATGGGACGCAACACTGAATTAGACGTGAGCTCGAAATATTTCCTCCTGAACTCTTTGAACAATTCCTCGGCGTCTTCATGAAACCTCATTTGGTAGACGGGATGCCTGTCTGGACACCACAGATGACGAAGGATTGTGACTTCTAACAGATGAAACACACCGCAGCGAACGTTGCTGATAGATTTAAGGATTGATCGTATCAGGAGGGGTTTAAAAAGCTTGATCTACACCATCTCTCTTACACGCACTTAAGCCGTAGGCTACTCTTGTTATTTTTGGTTGTCTGTGGTTGCGCTTGCTTACTGAGACCAAAGGACTTCCTTAAGATTACATGCAGGACATGTCCACGGGGCCATCCTCGCAAGAACACAGGTGGACGCACGCCACTGGACCTCAAAAAACGTTTCTGTAGCTTGGGCCGTCAAAACTATCCACAACACCACCAGCAACGCTTGCTTCCGCACGCGTTTTTCATTTTAACGTTCTTCGGAAATGCCTGTAAATTGTTTTTAAATATTATTATTCGGAACATGGAACGCACAGTCAAACGAG